TGGAGGGGTTGAAGGGAGGGCTGGGCAAGGGTGAAAAACAAAAACCAAGAGAGACTATGTAAAGGTGCAAATTTCCAATGATGAATGTCATTATATTGTATACCTAAAATGTACCAATAAAATGAATTTTTAAAATACCCCAAATTTAGTGGCTTAAAACAACACAAATTATGATCCTCCGATTCTAGCAATAAAATGTCCAAAATGGGTCCACGAGGAGGCTCCAGACAGAAATTTTTCCTTTTTTTCTTTCTTTCTTTTTTTTTGTTTGCCTTCAGCTTTTGAAGCCTCATTTATTGCCCATGGTTCATTCCACATCATCACAACCTGTTTCCCCTGTCACGTCTCCTCCGAAGCGACCCCCCATCTACCTTTTTCCTTTATCAGCACTCTTGTGATTCCATTGGGTGCACCTAGGTAATCTAGTATCATTTCCCTGTCTCTAAATCTTTAGCTCAATCACATCTACAAAGTTCCTTCTCACTGCCATGGTCAGTAACATACAGGTTCTGGGCATTACGAGACAGACATCCTTCAGGGTCTGTCTATCACAGCTTGGGAATCGGGTTTAAATTTCAGCATTGTCAATTCAACATACATTTCCTACATATCTGTTAAATGCCTACCTTCACATCCTGAACTAAATCTAAGAAATACACCGTCTAGCTGGCCTTGCCCAAATTACATAACCCCGCCCCGACCCTGCCTCCATTTTCCCCACAGCAAAGGTTAATGTCTCTCTCTCTCTCTCCCTCTCTCTCTCTCTCTGGAAACACTGTATGTGAAGAGTCTGTTGAAATCTCTTTCCATTTAAGCAGAATTGAGGATTATTATCTGCTGTTTTCATCTGCACAAAAACATAAGCAAAACATTGGATTAAGCAGCAGTGAGGCAGAGTAGCATTCTCATAACCTGCTGGTGTGGATGTGAATCGGCACAGAGAGACTTTCTAGAGGACAATATGGCAATGTGAATGTAACGAAGTCTTGTAGAAGTTTATTCTCTTTATCTCAGTAATTATCCATTTCTGGAAATATATTTTAAGCCCATGGTTGAATTTATGCGCAGTGATATTTGTTAAATATTATTTACAATGCTTGGGGGGGGGGAGCAGAAAAAAACTAAATGTCCTCGACTTAGGACTTAAATAAGAATTGTACATCCACATTACAGAAATCTCAATGGCCATTTAAAGGACTTGTTCAGAGGTTTGCCAAATAGTAGTGACAATCTCGGGGTTTATATCAAGGTTATTATCTCATGTAGGGTAAAGAATCCGTGTGTGCAAATACAGGGAGAAAAAGAACTAAAGAGATTTCCTGATGTTAACAGTGATTATTTCTGGGTAATGGAATAGCAAGAGATTTTTTCTTTTCGCTTGTTTGTATTTCCTAGTTTCTAATAATGAAGGTGCGTGTAGGGGATACAGTCCAGCTGCCCGAAGTCAATTGACAGGGGTTTTCAGGTATGGCACAAACGCGACCCGAGGTGTCCCCCTAGTGGAAGGTGGGGCGCGGCCGCTGCACGCACATCTAGCTGTGACCGTTTTAAAGTTTACCGTATTCCAGGCTTTTCAAAGCAGAGGCAGAAAATCGAAAAGTATTCTGCTTATTAAAAAAAAAAATTAAGGGAGAAGAAAACCACTGCAAAAGTTAAAGACCAAACCTCACCCTAGGAAAGAAGATGCTAGTAATCCTAGGTGCACTTGGAATATGCAATTAACTTTTTCAATTGTCCATGTTAAGCTCCCTAGATTTTTGTTTGTTTTGTTGCCGTTGCTGCTGCTGTTTTTCTTGTAGCTTACGTTCAAAAAAGTCTAGGTGCCAGGGATGTGGAACTAAGAAGGCGCGGGATGGAGTCTTTCGCCTGGAGGCAACACTGTTACCCAGGACTCCAGAATCTCCGACTCCACTCGGCTCCTCTTCGGCTACATTCGGTTGCCTCGCGTACTCTCGGCCTGGGCTCTTTTCGACTAAATTCGGCCCACGCTCGATTTAGACTCGGCTCTCTTCGTCTTACCCTCATCACGGCCTCGGCTTTCCTCAACCCTGTTCCGCCTGCCTTCGTCTCGGCCACGCCTCCTCTTCGGCGGCGTCCGGCCGATTTCGTCACAGCTCGGCTTTTTTCGCCTACAGTCGGCGGCAGCCCCGGAAGGGCGCTCATGGAGCCGCGATTTTCGGCTCGACGGATCGCTATGGCGCCGCTGCTAGAATATGAGAGGCAGCTGGTGCTGGAGCTGCTCGACACCGACGGGCTGGTCGTGTGCGCCCGAGGGCTCGGCGCGGACCGGCTCCTCTACCATTTCCTCCGGCTACACTGCCACCCGGCCTGCCTGGTGCTGGTGCTCAACACGCAGCCAGCCGAGGAGGTGCGGTGGCGAGTGACGACGGGACCTGAGGGCGTGGGGGCCTCCCCGGCGCAGGCAGGCCCCGGCGCCAATACCAGGCCTCGGTCGGGGTGGGGGGTTCGAGGAGAGGCAGCCCCTGAACGGAGAGGGAGGGTGTTGAATAGGGTTGGAGTCTCCGAGGGAGACGCGGGTCCCAAACGGTGTTCGAGAACGCTGGCCGGGGGGGCGGGGGGGCGACTGGAGAAGTGTGGTGGGGAGGGCCGGGGGCGTGGATTGGAGTCCCCTGCAGGGGAGGAGATGTCTGAAGGAGGCTCTGGATCGAAATACTGGGGCAGTCCGAAAGGACGCTACCAATGTCAGATCAGAGGCGATCTCTAGAAGGGAAAGATGGAGGGGGTCCCAGGATGATGGAAAGACGAGAGACGCCGAGGATGGCGGACCGTGTAGGAAAGGGGGCCTGGAGGACTAGGACATTTCACCAAGGATACGGGGGAGTGTTAATGGGGAGGCGCTGGAAGGTGGAATGGAGATACACCTGTGCTGGGAGCACATTGAGAGGGAACCTAGCGTGGTCAGACAGTCTGATGATCGGCTAGATGGAGCAGGTGTCCGGGAGGAAAACGTCAGCTGATAAAAATGATCACAAAGACCTCGAGGGCAGGGACGCTGTTGGTTCATCCTGGGATCCCCAGTGCTTGGTGTGGGGCCTGTCGCAACACATGGTCCCACCAAAAGTGGTGCTGAACAGGAGGGGTGACTGGCAAGGAACCTGTAAACATGGTGAAGTCCTTCTAGGATGGGTCAGGACAGAACAGCCTAAAACACTGTCTGGGAACAGGATTCCCTCATTACCTTCTCACAGAGGGTGCTTGGCTGCAAACATGGCCTTGGTGAGAAGTAGGTTCTAGGTAGCCAAAATCTTTTAATCCAAGATTTTAAAAGGTTTTGTTTGTTGTTAAAGTGCTAATGACTGAAGGGCCGTTATTGTTAGTGTAAACTCCAAAACAAAACAAACAAAAAACCTTAAATGTAGACTGGTTTGTTGATCCACATATAGTAGTAACTTAGTTTCTATATTCGTTTATAAGTTCATTATCTCTGAGAAAGGCAGCACTTCATTTTAAATACCTGCAACCTCTTAAAACCTGCCTTGGATTACTCTTCTAATGAGTGTGATTTGATTTAGGAGTATTTTATCAATCAGCTGAAGATAGAAGGAGTCGATCACCTCCCTCGCCGTGTGACAAATGAAATCGCAAGTAACAGTCGCTATGAGGTTTACACACAAGGTGGTGTTATATTTGCAACAAGTCGAATACTTGTGGTTGATTTTTTGACTGATAGAATACCTTCAGATTTAATAACTGGTAAGAATTTGAAATCTTATTCCTTGTACATAAATGGGTACGTTTTTATTTTTGTGTGTCCCCATTGCTAAACTCTAGAACCTTCCATGGGTATAACTGGATCTTTTTGCTCAACTTTGTGCTTCCAGCTGTTGTCACAATGCCTGATACATTGTAGATGGTCAATAAATATTCATGATCTAAATAAGTACAGTCAAGGGTCACTTAACTATGGTGATACATTGTAAGAACTGCATCATTAGACTATTTCCTTATTGTGTGATCACAGTAAATTTATACAAACCTTGATGGTTATAGGTCAGTTAGATGTAGCCTCTTGAAGCAATCAAGAGGCACAGTAAACATAAAATATAGGAGGCTGCCAGTGTAACAAGGCATACTGTGTTATAGCAAACTTTTTTTTTTACTAAGTAGAAAGAACACACTCTAAAGTAAGGATAAAAAGTATAACATAGACAAGCATGGTGTGCATACCTTTAATCTCAAGTACTCAGAAGGCTAGGCAGAAGGATCCCAAGTTCAAGCCCAGTGTGGACAACTTAGTGAGACCCTGTCTCAGAATATAAAGGGCTGGACTGTGGCTCAATATGAGAGCACTTGTCCAGCTTGCACAAAACCCTGGAATTTGATCACCAGTACCACAAAAGGAATAAAGAAAGTATAGTATGGTAAATACATGAACCAGAACATAGTCATTATCATTATAATTATGCAGTATCAGATACTATACATAATTGTATTGCTGTACTATATGACTGACAGCAAGTGCATTCATTACCCCAGCACCATTAGAGATAAATGAAGAATAGCACATTATGCTGTGACATTATAGCATCTGCTAGTGCAGTGATGGTAAACCTTTTAGAATTTTCAATGATATCAAACAGCCAGCTACAGCACATGTGCCATAGGCTCACCACCACTGTACTAGGACGTAAGAATCTCTTAGCCCTGTTACAATCTTAAGGGACCAAAATCGTATAAGTGGTCTGTCACTGACTGTAACATTGTTATGTGGCACATGACTATACGTGGAAGGTTGATTTTTCCTTCTTTTCTAAATTGTTACTCTAGTAGTTATGAATAAAATATTTGTATTTGCCTAGTCTTTGCTTTTAGAACTCAATTAGATTTGACGTCTTTGTAAATAATCTGTATATTTCCAAAAATACTAAATTATTTTTAAGAGTAATTTTCCCCTTGATTTGAAATTAAACCAACTAGTTTATTTTGAGAAAAATGGTTTTAAGGGATATGATCAAAAAATACAGAAAATGTTTAATTTTTAAAATTTATTACAGTAAAAGACACATTACCATTAATCCCCCTCAAAATACTCCCCCTTTCTTTGAACATACTTATCCCTTTGTTCTTCCCGCTATTCTGAAGCAGTTCTGGAAGTCCTCTTTCATGAGTATCTTTAGTTATGCTGTTGTGGCTCGATGTCTTGAATCAGATCAAAACGTTTACCTTTCATATGAGGTCATTTTGATTTGGGGGAAGAGACAGAAGTCCAGCCGTGCCAGATCCAGTGATAAGGTAGATGAGGACACACTGTAATGTTTTCATGAGCGTGCCTTTCTGTTGGCACTCAGCAGCAGCATTCACAGTATTTTTTATTACATCTCATAAAGATACTCACAAAGAGGAATTCCAGAACTGCTTCAGAAAGTGACAAGAATGATGGGATCAGTGTGTTCAAAGTGGGGGGCAGGGGGGTTATAATTTAGACATTCGCCATATATTTTGATCACTCCCATTTTAGCTCAAGTTAGTATAGAAAAGAAATTCACTTTTATTATTGTTTGTACTTTCAGAAACATCTGATTTCCCCAAAGCTAATTTAGGAGCCTTGAGTCTCTGCCCTCACATTACCCTGTGCTTCTCTCCAGTCATAGCACTGAGAATACTACTTTTTATTTGCCTGTTTGTCTGTCTGACTCCTGAATAAGCTTCCTTAGTCCAAGGAAGGGCTTGTTCACCTCAGGTTAAATAACTGGCACCTGTTACATGCTAAATACATATTTGTTGGATGAATGATGGAGAATAATGAACTGCTAGAAGGCAAAGAAACTGAAAATTATTAGCACACTTGTACCTATCATATTTCCCTGAACTTAGAAGACCCTCAAGAAATATTTAATGAATAAATGTGTGATTGATTGCTTTCTGTGGCTTATTGTGAATTGGTTAAGGGAACGTTTTGTTACTCTTTTGTAATAGTCATAATTTTTATAAACTGTGGTATGAGTCTGACTTTCAATGCTAATGCCCTGCTTACAAACAAATTGCTTACTTTTCCTGAACCTCAATTTCCTCATTTCTTAAAGTCAAGAAAATTGTGCCTCTTCAAATTATAAGGATTGAGATACAATAAAATGCTAAGCATAGTGCCTGATACGTAGTAAACTCATAATAAGTTATGGCAAAAAAAAGGGGTTTTTTTTTTAAATAACTTGAAGTCTTTCTACAGCATAAGGTCTTCTACTGTTTGTTGCTTTTATATAAGCATTTTTTCTTTGTTTTTTGGGGTTTTTTTTAATTTGCTAAAATTTAAATAATTGTTTGGAAACTACCACTAGATGTCAGTAGTACTGTGATATTCAATTACCGTGCAACCTAATTAGGTAGGGAATAATCTTAATGCAACTTCCAAGTCTAGCATACAAGTACTTCCTAATTAAAAGCGTCAAGTTGCCTCCCCATTTCTGATCAGGTGCCTGCCAGTAATGAAGCTGGAACTGGTACCTGGCTGGGGAAATGAATGCCAGAAATAAATTCTTTCAAGTTCATCCTCTAGGATCCCCAAAAGGGGACCGTCAAGGGCTTTGTTCACCAGAGCCCTTAAAGAGCAAAAGGGCAGTCAGTCCCTTACGCTTGGAACACTCAGAAGTATTGACTTCCTTCAGGCCTGACTTGTTTCCCTCACACCTCCGATTATTACCATCTCTGCCTTCCCTAGCTGTCACTGCCAACTAGAACTCCTAAATAGGAGACTGCAGCTGATCCTGATATCTCCAGATAGAATTCTGTACAACACTTTCTGGGAAATTTTTAAAAAGAAAATTGTGTGTTAGATTTGTATACCAAAGTGCTCTAATTCAGCTTTATATTCATTCAAAAAACCTTTAACTAAGGATCTTGCTTGGCAGGAAAGGTTCTGAAGATAGAAAGGTGACCAAGCAGTTTGGTGAGCTCTTGGGTTTGAGTGCTTCAGGGTTTGATCTTGCCTTCCCTGTGTGTCCTTAGGCAAATTGCTTAATTTCTCCCTGCCTCAGTTTTTTAATCTGTAAATCAGGGACAAGAATAGTTCTTCCACTCAGGATTTTTGTAAAGGAGATAGTACACATAAATGCCTACCATCAAGGCACATAATAAGCTTTTTGTGATCATTGTCATGATGTTCTTGTCTGCATACAGATACATAAAAAGTAATTCAGTACAGTATGAGGTAGAAAATATCATAGGAACCTAAAATTTTAAGTAAGTTCTTGTGGGACTAAAACTGCCCCGAAACAACCTTCTAATACTCTTTTTTAGTTTTTGGGTTTTTTGGTACCGGGGATCAAACTCGGGACCTTGCGCTTGCGTGGCAGGCAGTGGACCCACTGAGTTACATCCCCGGCCCTGATACTCTTTGTTTTTTAAGAGGAGGGTCCCGAGGTAGCATCACGTCGTGGGGAAAATGTGGCTTCACTCGTGATTTGGAATCTTCGGCCCCCACTTCGTTGCTGGGTGTCCTTCCTGGTCTCGGTCTTGTAGTATACCTGTCCCATGGAATTACTGTGAGGAGTAAAGACCCTAAAACTCCATAAAAGAGCTAACCCAGTGCCTGGGATATAGGGTTTTCTTCTCATCTTTCTGGTTTCTAAAAGAGTAACCTTTTAAAGCACATCATTTTCTATAATTGAGTTTCACCTTTTCTTGAGATACCTATTTGTATTATTTTTAGCTTTATGTAATATTTCAATCCAAGGTAATAAATTGCGGCCCACATATACAGTCCTTGGGAAAACCCACCTGCTAGGTAGAATATATTCTGAGTAGTTAATTGTATACATGTATTGAGGGGTTATTGTAAATCCTTTGCCATAAATATCTAAATATCCAAATATGCTATAAATTACCATATTGGAAAAATAATTTGATTAGCTAGAGTCAATCTAGTTTCATCCATTTTAATCCAAAATTGAAACAACAAATAATAGGATCTGAACTGAGCTTTTTGGACTATAAAAAGGCCCATAATTACCGTAAGTATCATTTTCCAGACCCTATGAGTGATGAGGATGGGATTAGATGGCCCGGGGATTCAGCTCAGTGGTTCTGCCGCCTGCCTTGCAAGCACAAGGAGCCCGTTCAATCCCCGGTACCAAAAAAAAAAAAAACAAAAGAATGGGATTAGAAATATAAGTAACCAGCTTGACTGAGGTCTAAAACATTGAGAATCATCATAGAATAATTGAACTTTTGAACCAAAAATAACACCTGTATATCCTTAACTTATCTTGTATTTCTGCCTGACTTGTCACTAACCATACTGCATCAACATGGCATAGGTGTATGAAAGATCTTCTGGTGCAGTACCCTCATTTATAAATAAGGAAACATGTACACTTGTCCTCATTTTTGAGATTTAGAGATATAATTACACACCACCACAAACATACATTAAATATATCACTAAAGTTTCTATTTTAAATGGAGTAATTTATCTCTCAGTTGAATAATCTTTATTCTGGAAATTGAATTAATCTAATAGGTGATGCAAATGTTGTCCAGACTTCTCAAATGCAGCTAGTATAGATCCCACATCTGATTCGTATATAAAAAGAGACTTAAGATCCACTTTGCTTCTTTTAGTGTGCCAGGCACACCCTGCTCCAGGGCCATTGTTCTACTGTTTGCTCATCTCCGTCCTACTTATCTAAAATCACAAACCAGCTCTCGGTACACACTCCCTCTCCTCTGATTCATTGTTCTCCGTAATGCAGGTGACATGCTACATATCTTACTTACTGGCGGTATGTAGCAAAAGTTCCACAGTGATGGGGATTTACGTCTGTTTGTTTATAGCCATATCCCCAGCCTACCTGCCCTTTCTCAAGTAGACGCTCCAGAACAATTGAAAGAATGAATGAATGAGCAAAAGTGAGCAGGAAATCCCATGTCTGTCCTGTAACCTAAACTGTAACCTCTCCCTCAGGGATCTTGGTGTATAGAGCCCACCGAATCATCGAGTCTTGTCAGGAAGCATTCATTTTGCGCCTCTTTCGCCAGAAAAACAAACGTGGTTTTATTAAAGCTTTCACAGACAACGCCGTCGCCTTTGATACTGGTTTTTGTCATGTGGAAAGAGTGATGAGAAATCTTTTTGTGAGGAAGCTGTATCTGTGGCCTAGGTAAATAATATTTTGTTATTTTTTAGAGGATCTGCTGAACTTAGTTGGGCTTTAATGTAATACAGTGTAAAATACGCTGACTTTGCCCTTGATCGAGGCTAGTCAGGTCCATAGCAAACCGCCTAGATATAAACATGTACTCCCCATATTTGTGATTCTTTTGAAAGTCGAGAGAGATTTGAGTTAATTTTCTGGTAGTCTATCAGATCCATCCAAGGGTGCTTTATTCATTCTTGTACATTCAGTGAAACCCCCAGAGAGATAGAGGCCTGTGGATACCACAGCTTTGGGTCAACTGCAGACTTACTGGACAAGACTGCCACTTCCACTTTGAGGATTGCCCACCAAGGAAATAAGCCCAGAGATTTTGATGTATTTGTGTACATTTCTAAGGACAACATAAAGTTTCAATTTTCAAGTATTTTTGCAATATTATTTTGGTTATACAATATTTTTTCTTAAAAGTAGTGGTTATGGAATTTCTCCTGTTTTGATTATATCTTATCTCAGAGGTCAAGACACTTTTCCTATAAACAACCACATAGTAAATATTTTGGGCTTTGCAGGCCATGCAGTCTGTCACAGTTGCTCAGCTGTGCTGTTAAAGAACACAAAAGCAGACATAGACAATTGAACAGTGGAAGGGGCTGAGTTTTGTAAGACTTCAAAAAAAATGCCCTGGATTTGGCCCAGACAATAGTCTGCAGCCCCTGCCTTATTTGAATAATACTTCGGTTCATAGAGGTCCAAGTATTTGTCAAAACATGGTCATTTTGTCTTGTTTCCTAATTGCATTTATGAAAACTGTTAGAATATTGAACTGGGACCAGAATGCACAGCAGTTGAAACTAAAAAATATTTGAAAACTATTTTGTCTCTAGGTTCCATGTAGCAGTCAACTCATTTTTAGAACATCATAAACCTGAAGTTGTAGAAATTCATGTTTCTATGACACCTGCCATGCTTGCCATCCAAACTGCTATACTGGATATTTTAAATGCATGTCTAAAGGAACTGAAAAGTCATAACCCATCGCTGGAAGTGGAAGATTTATCTTTAGAAAATGCTATTGGGAAGCCTTTTGACAAGGTACTTTTTCTTTTTAAAGCATAATGTGTTGTAACTTTAAAGAATGCAAAATATTTTAATATTTGCAATGTTAATAGGAATTTGCTGTCATTTTAGAATTAAATTGGAGGTGATTTAAAGTACAGATGCTTTACTAGAAAGTAATAATTTGTACTAAAATATGTCTCTTGGCGTGAAACCATATCTGTTTGCACTTATATAGTGCATATCTAACTGCAATTTAAGTATAATCAAGAGGAGGATAACTTTTTTGCTCCGAAATGACAACATTTGGATATCAACAGGTAGAAGAGCTTTTCATAAGAATGCTCCATAAATACGTATGAGCTTACCATTTCTTTTTTGGAATAAAAATAACGTGGATGAATTTTCATTACTGAGAAATGAGACTTGCGCTGTCTTAAAATTGCATTCTGAATTAAGAAAATAGACATAAAATTCAAAGAATCTTTATGCTAACTTTTTTCACCATGGACAAATATTAATCCATCTATGTAGGTATCTAATACAGTAATGAATTGTAGATAAAATACTGACTTAAAAATTCTAAGTAGTGTTTGATTTTTTACATTTTTATAGAACGTGTTACTATCTTTTAAACTCTGAATCAGTCTCTGTTTCACTGGAAATATGAAAAAGGAAAAATTTAACTTCTCATTTCTCTGATTCTTTATAAAAATGAGTTTACGATGAAACGTTAGTACATAAAACTAAGTGTTCTGTTCCTCTTTCTTAAAAGTGTGTTGTAATTTAGTGCATGGTGATTTTTTTAAACCTTCATATTAATTTAATGGAATATATAACCTTAGAAAAACAAAATATAGCCTACTATGTTTTACACTAGATTTCTGTTTATTATCCCCTCACTGGTAAGAGTCAAGGCATTGTTTTTTATATTCTTTTAGTAACCACATCTATGTATAGACATAGCTTATATCATACTAAAAAATTTAACCTTTCATAAATATTTTTACAAAAGATGCATGTAGTTATTAGTCCCATTTGTTTAGGACAATCCCACTATCTACTTGTCCTGGAGTAATTATTAATAGTATTCCATTTCATTTTCACAAGTACCCCAGTTTAAACAATAAATTTTATGTTCATTCAAGTACTACTTCTGTTCAGTATTAAATTGTTAGATGAGATGTCATCCAATTATACTGCTTCTGTTCATAAAAAAAAATTGATTTTCTGATGTTGATCAGGCTTTTTCCTCTCCTAACAATAATGTAAATCTATGTGAGGATAATTAACTAACTCCATCTGATCATAAAGATTATAGCAATATGATACTCTTCTGTATTTTAAAAAAATTAAATATTATTGTTAGAATTTTATGAACTGAAATTTTTTGCCATGTCCCTAGGGAATTTGGTTTTTATTGTAGTAAAATACACATACCATGAAATATATCCTTTTAACCATTTTTAGGGATACAAAGAATAAACTTTAAAAAGAAAGTATAATTTGTGTTTATTAAGAATAGCTATATAATTAACACTTTTAGCAATACTTAATTTTGTTCTTGTTTTAGACAATCCGCCATTATCTGGATCCTTTGTGGCATCAGCTTGGAGCCAAGACTAAATCTTTGGTTCAGGATTTGAAGATATTGCGGACTTTGCTGCAGTATCTCTCACAATATGATTGTGTCACATTTCTTAATCTTTTGGAATCTCTGAGAGCAACAGAAAAGGCTTTTGGTCAGAATTCAGGTGTGAGATTAAAATACTAATATTATTCTAGGAGCTGATTTGAATAAAGTCTTAGATTTTGGGGGAAAAGCAGGTATGGCAAGTGCTATATTCAACTACATGTTATATACTAAGATTTCAAATTATATTTTATGTTCATTGCACAAGGATGTAGGTTTTATTGATAGCTAATGTTTCCGCCTACTTAACTTCTGTTCTGTATAATAATATTCATATCCATTCTGGGAAATTTTATTTCTAGAAGACTGTGGATGGTACTGGCTGTCTCCAACTTAGAAATAGTTTATGTTCTGAAAGTATAGTTGTTAGGAACTTAAAATTCATTTTTCCAAAAGAGACAGCAAGGGACAGGTTTCATCATCTGGAGTACTGAAGAGATTTTTAGGGAAATGTATATCTATGAGTGCCCACCACCTTGTTTTCCAACCAACTACACCCTTCTGCCACTACCCAGGACCCCTTTACCCATACAGTTCAAGATTTAATGCAGTTAATACTTACATTCTTCAGGGATTCTTTAAGTCATAAACTACAAATGTACAGTAGTAAAGAATGCACTGACTGCTAGTACACTTTCACACCGCTGCCTTGGTTTATGCAAAGGCACCAACAGTGTTATTCACCATAGTGCTTTTGCACCACCATTGGAAATGTCAACAAAGTGGAAAAATCAATGTTGTAGTATTATCATGAGAAAAGTTCTGACATCATAGACCACCTGAAGGCATCACGGGAACCCCCAGGAGAACATGGGCCACACTTTGAAAACTACCACTCCAGGAGCCAGGGATTTAGCTCAGTGGTTCCATTGCCTGCCTTGCAAGCACAAGGTCTTGAGTTCGATCCCTGGTACAAAAAAAACAAAACAAAAAAAATACTAGTCCAGGGAATCAGAGACCACAACAGTAAGAGAAGTTTGGTTAATAGGAAACTAGATGGTGGCCAGTTGTATATGTAGGTCATGTGACCATCAGAGACTATTTAAAATTAACCATAAATTGAAAGGTGTTTTGGTTTTGTTTTTTACTGTTCATATTAGGTTGGCTATTTCTTGACTCCAGCACCTCAATGTTCATAAACGCTCGGGCAAGGGTTTATCATATTCCAGATGCCAAAATGAGTAAGAAAAGCAAAATGCCTGAAAAAATGGAGATTAAGGAAGGACAAGGTATTTTGTAGGCCTAAATCTTTAAATGTGTCTTTTATTTAAGTATTTGCTGTGAAAGCACTTACCAAGTTAAAATGTAATTTAAAATCTCCTTCAGCCATATGTTAACCATTTTATGTAACATATGTAACATATATTAAAAGTATTTTGCATGGCAAGTCTTGGAATCCATTGCCAGAGGATTCCAATAACAAAGGTCAAATATCAATCAAGAGTATTCAGGAGTACTCTCACTGCTACATAAAAACTCTAAATTGATTTTTTTTTTTTTTACAAAAGTTCAAAATAATAACTCTTTGCAGTCAAAGTCTTAGTGAAACATTTTAACATTCCTTTTAACTTTTAAAGGTCATAAAATACCAGAATGAGGCAATTACGGATTTTATTCCAACACTATATAGTTAGTTATCAAATGCCACTCATTTTTTAAGGTATAGGATACAGTTAATAATTCTTTTTTCTACCTAGTGTACAGTTCTAGCTCAAAACTTAATTAAAAATATTACTGTGTTTGAGTACTTGTAGAAATAAAAGTTTGATCACTGCCTCATTTATGCATGTTTAGGATTGTGTGAATCATGGAGATTTTAGAAATAGTAAATTCTTTCACTTGTACTGATTCCTTTATCTTGTATAGTGGCTTATACATAGTATCACAGTTGAAAGTTAACACTCAATCATCTCTTTAATTACCACGTAGTCTCCTATCAAGGTATCATGTAACCTATATTAATGCTACTTGAAGTGCGCTTCTATTAGACCATAAGTATGCCTTTTTCAAGAAAGCAGATTCTATCTTGCATTTAAAGAAAGCTCAAACAAATGGCCTGTGGAGTGATGCTGGTATTGTCATCCTTCATCTCTATACAGAAACAAAAAAGGAACTGGTCCTGGAAAACAACCCGAAGTGGGAGGCACTAACTGAAGTATTGAAAGAAATTGAGGCAGAAAATAAGGAGAGTGAAGCCCTTGGAGGCCCAGGTAAGAAAAACAGGAGATAATGGCATTTGCTTTTAAACGAGCCTTAATTTGACTAGCTCCTTTAAAGTAATTCACTGTTTTGTTTATAAAATGTAGGTAAATAAATGCCAAGTGAACACTGAGATTGTGCTGGCAACCTCAATTCTGTTCATTTGATGGGGGTTTTCTCCAGAATGAATCATTGTGTATTCATGAAGCAGTTTTTGTTTTTGTTTTTGTTTTTTTTACTGGTTGGGTTCTCAGGACTTCAATTTAAAGATTCACCTAATCTCCACATATATATTCACTAGGCTTTAAATCTGGAATCCCCAAGGTATAAGCTAATGGGTTTTCTGTTTTATATTCTAAGCAAGTATCTCCAGAGAAGCTTAAACTCTTCTAGGGAATGACACTGATCTAGCCCTTGAAAAAAATTGCATATTTTAGCCCTGCCCTCATCAAAAATGGGTATATGAGTAGATTAGCACAGTAGGCTAAACCTGAGTCATAAATATAGAAATAAGATCAGACAGAAAAACTAATTTTAAAATATACCAATTCAGTCTTTGAACTCTTGCAAAGCAATCCAGGCAAGTGTTCAGTCCTTCTGTTAGTAAGTATACTGGTGATATCCCAGAACTTACAGTGCTGAGATTTAAAACCTAGAGTAATCCATGCTCACCATAGCAAAAAGGAAAAGGGAAAAGGAAAAAATCACTTATAGCAGCCAATGCTGAAGTTGGTATATTGCCTTCCAGGCCCTTCTTTCACGTATTTCCCATTTCAAATATCTAACGTCATAGTACAAATAATAATTTCTAGACAAGCACTAATAAGCCAAATGGTATTAACAATCTTAAACTTCATGAGACATATTACTGTATTGGTTTCTATAAAGTTTTTAATTTTCATTTCTTTTAGCAATATAAGAGCTTATCTCTTTTTCACTTAGCTACGATGAGATTGTCTGTACATATATTTCATGTATAAGACATATATAACAGTTTTAATTTGGAGACAATGTCTTGTTTTAAATTTTCATATTTAGTAAGCTCAATATTTTCTCAAATGCAGTTCCTCTTCTGTGACTTGTCTTAGTCTTGGCCAGGTTAGACAGTTATCATAGCTTATATTGACTCCTTTATAATAAAGGTATTAACATTTATCATCATTATTAAACAAAATTTGTCTTCCATTTTTAATGCAGTTTTTTTATTTTTATAGAGTCAATCTTGAAGTATAGCTAGAACCTCCTCTGAGAGTTTCTCCATTGCTTTTAAGTCTAGAAAGTCATTTTCATCTGGAGAGATGAAAACCAGTCATTTCTTTTTTATAATTTAATATTTAACATTTGAGTGTAATCCATTTGGAATTTATTTGGGTGTATAAGATCCCCTGGAAAATATTGAAAAGAGGTCTGTTAAAGCCTCCATTATACTAATGGCTCTACTTTAATAAAAATGAATAATTCTGGCTTCCACATTGCTCAAAAAATTTAAGTGCTGGGCGTGGTGGGACAGGTGGTACCTGTAATCCTAGCATTCAGCAGGCTGAGGCAGGAGGATCATCATGAGTTTGAGGCTAGCCTGGGCTACATAATGAATTCAAGGTCAGCCTGAACTACGTCAGGGACCCTCTCTCAAAACGCAAAGCAAAAACAAAACGATTTTAGTAATCCTACCAGAGAGGTGAAAGCATGTGATTAGCACCTACAACTTTGTTTAAATAATTTATAAATTACAAGGGGTAAATGTCTTGCCTTTGGAGAAAGAGGTGAGGGGACACAAAAATATCCCCTTGTTTTCTGATTGTAGGTCAAGTTCTTATCTGTGCAAGTGATGACCGCACGTGCTCCCAGCTGAAAGACTACCTCACCGCTGGGGCAGAGGCCTTTTTACTGCAGCTCTACAGGAAGACCTTTGAGAAAGACAGCAAAGCGGAGGAAGTATGGGTGAAATTTAGAAAGGAGCATGGTTCAAAGAGAACTACAAAATCTAACAAAAGACCCAAAGATCTCCAGCATAAAGAACGGGGTTCTGTCAAAGAAAAAATTCCCAAAAAGAAAAAACGAAGGTTGACTCTAACTCAGATGCCAGGACAATCTGAAGAAGTGGAAGAGGAAGAGGGTGTTGAGGAAGGACATCCTAGAGACAGAAGCAGTAGCCCAGAAGTCTGCTTGGGAGAAATCAAGCATGAGGAATTTGATTTAAATTTGTCGTCTGATGCTGCTTATGGACTCTTGAAAGAACCCCTCACCATCCTCCATCCTCTCCTGGGTTGTAGCGACCCCTATGCTCTGACGAGGGTTCTCCATGAGGTGGAGCCAAGATTCGTGGTTCTGTATGATGCAGAGCTCACGTTCGTTCGTCAGCTTGAAATTTACAGGGCAAGCAGGCCGGGGAAACCTCTGAGGCAAGTGAGCAAGAGTATTAACTGCTGCTTAACACTTTCATTTTCACAGTTCTTTAGGGCTTAACACAGAAACCATCCCAGTTACCTGTTTTCTTATCTTTAACATTCCATTGTTACGATGCTGGTTAGGTTCATAAAACCTTTTGCCTTGTGTTGAATGAGGAGTTGCACAGGAGAGGTATGAAATGTCAGAGCAGAACAGTACACTAGAGGACTATTTGTGATTGTGTTCTTTGCCACTACTTGTTTTGTGTCATATTTGTGTGTTTGTTCGTGGCTTATGGGGTACTGTGTCTGAAAAGTCTGGGAAATTTATAACATTCTAAGTGCCACCAAAAGTTAATATAATTATGGCTTAGCTATAATTTTAATCTTCTAAGATGTCTTCTAAATTTTAGTAAGTGACTCTAAATTATATCCACATAAAACTAAAGTGTTCGGGGGGAATTACTGTACTGACTTTTCTTGAGTTTCAAAAAGTATCAGATGACAAATCTATCTACAGAAATATCAGATGAGAAGATGATGCCTCCAAAAGAATACAGTGTTCTGGCTCTCCAATGATCTGAAGGGAAGTGAACACCAAAATTAATATCCTGAACTCAATCTGAACCAAAAACTGAGCCAAAAGAAACCGTTCTAGCAGTTTAACTAATGCAGCCTTTCAAAGGAGAGGTGAATGGAGGAGCTGGATCAGAAATAATGTAGAGATAAAGAGATTAGATGAAGCTGGTAAAATAATTATAGTCTGGTAAATTTTTTATACTTTGTATCGATCAACTTTGTAGATAGCTTGTGTACACCAAGCTTCTTTCTTGCCTGAGAACAGAATAGTGTGATATTTAGAATCAAAATGTCAGGAGCAGAAGGGACCTGGGATTTCAACCCCTCACTCTATCCATGGGAAACTGAGACCCAGAAATGATGAATGACTTGGCCTCAGCCACGTGGCAAATTTGTGGAAGAGCTGAGGACTCTTAATTCATTAACCAGTAATCTTTTCCCTGTCTCAACTTCAAAGAAAATCTAGGAAGATAAAAGCTAAAAGAAAAACTGAGGCTTTAAGGAAAATACCTCTGGTAGAAGGTAAAGAAAATATACCACAGAGATGCTTAATTCAGCGCCAACAAAATGCAAAAGCAGGTCTTTTTAAGAGTAAATATATCAAAGTATTTTTGAGATGCCTGATACAATCCATATGTAGTCTCTGTCTGCATCTTTAAATAAAATGTATGATGGCTCCATTCTGTTAAGGCATGAACAAAGAACTGAGAAAGTATGGTGGAGATAAAGGTCATATAGATTTCATTTGTTTATTATTCACTAACGTGAACTTTCATAAGCTGGTTTTTATAACTACTATCCAGCTTTTTAAAACAGTTGTTTGGCAGAGGTGCAAAGAAAATTTTGAAAAAAAGAGAAGCCTCTAAGATTTTGTATTTTTTTATTTGTTCATAGTTATAAGGAAAGAATTATTTTATCCCTGTAGTTAAATTTCAATATTTACCTAAACGCTGTTCCCCTTTCTGATCAAAGAAAGGGGAAAAAAACAACTTAGTAGTAATGAGATGTTTAACAGGTAGGGTTTAGGCAGCTTAATTTGAGTAAGTTGTATGGTAGAAGAAATCTTTTATTCTTAGTTAAACATTTATTATTTGAGCACTCTAGGTTGCTGATTTCAAATGTTCTATTATTCCTTTCAGGGATTAAAATTTTGTGTTTTTGCAACCTAAAAGAGTTCTGTCTCAACTTGCAGGGTTTACTTTCTCATATATGGTGGATCAACAGAGGAACAACGTTATCTCACTGCTCTGCGAAAAGAAAAGGAAGCTTTTGAAAAACTCATAAGGTAATAAATAAATGATGAGTATGAGAGTCACAACTAGAGTGAAATCAAAGGCCAGGCTTCTGTGGATAGGGAAATAACCAACAGCCCTCAGGACGATGCGGAAGGGAAGAAGTTGGGTGAGGATCACATCAAGGCCAGCTGTGGTCTGATTTGTCCCAGGTTCTACCTTGCACACAACTTTTTTTTCCCGCTCCCTTTCTCCTACTATCTCGATCTGCTTTTCAGTGCTCTAGTTATAGAATACTACAGAACATAATAGGATATAGGCTGTGCCCCCATAGAATGCTTGGTATCAGAAGTGTTCCAGATTTCATTTTTTTTTTCACATTTTGGAATATTTACGTGTACATAATAAGGTATGTTAGGGATGGGATGCAAGTCTGACCACAAAACTCATTTATGTTTCACATGTACCTTATGTACAATATTTTTATTACATCTGCATTTTTGCTACAGCCTATCCTATGAGGTTAGTTGGAGAGTTTTCCACGTGTGGTATGTCAGCACTCAAAAAGTTTCAGATTTTAGAACATTTTGAATTTTCAGATTAGGGATGCTCAATCTGTATTAGAATCGTGATAGAACTGCTTTTGTGTTTATAAATGTAAAACACTGGAAATATAACTAAAACACTACTTTTCTAAGAACTGTCTTCTTAAACCTCTCTTTCCCCACTTTATGCACAAGATTCCCCTTTCACTTTTTCTTTATTAGCACATATTTACAGTACGTAATGATTGCATTCATCCTGGGGAATTTGTACATGTAGATAAACATCTTAATTCTTTTTCCCCTCCTCTCCCTCCAGTCATTCTTCCCCTCCCCATTCACAAAAGCCCTATTTCCATTTTTCCCTTCAATTCTTTTTTTTCCTTAAATCCCTTTTCCTTTTCCTTACTCCCTCCTCCCCTGTCTCTTGTTCCCCTCCCATTTGAAAACCCCTTCCTGCCTCTTGGTGTCTATCTTCTGTTTTGCTCCTTATTTACACATGGGTTTCTCACACCAGAGAAGCACTGCAATATTTAAGCTTGTGTGTCTGATACATTTCACTTCAGATTATGGGCTTGAGGTATATCCATTTACCTAAAAATGCCTCACATTTATTCTTCTTTATGCCAGGGTAGTACTCCATAAATACCACATTTTCTTTATCCATTCATCTATTGATGGACGTATGGGGTGTTTTTAAGACTTAACTATTATAAATTGTGCTGCTATAAACATGAGCACACATGTATTACTACGGTCTGACGACTTTAACTTTCTCAGGAAGATACCTAGAAGGGAACAGCTGAGTCAAATGGAACCTCTAGTTTTAGTTTTTTGAGGACTCTCCATGCTAATTCCCTCCCTTTGCTTGGAATTAAGACTTCTTTCTTCCTCATAAAATTTCCATTGTCTACAAACTACTGGACAGTGACTACCAACAGGAAATACTTTTATGACCGAACCAGTTCTAATCACCCTCAATAGAATCGCGCTGCAAAAATGTTTTTTAAAGGTGTATTGTTTTAGCATACATGTATGCTTTTGGGAATGGCTATCTGGTAATATTCCAAATCCAGGTCAAAAATGCTTTCCAGTTTAACTTAAGTATATATGAAATAATCACAAACTGGCTGGCTTCCTCTCACTCCCAAAAGCATTCAAGAAATCTGATGTCCGCCCACCTACAGCATTGTCAGGAGACTGCAGTGGTGTGGGAGGACGGGCCAGATGGCCTCCAAGGAGACTCAGAACCCAGGCCAGGGCTGGATCAGGCATCCCTGAGCTACAGCAAAGCTAAACCCAAGGAGACCATGGCCTGGACTGAGTATGACTGAGCCAGGCCAGTCTTCCATGCCACAGACATTGCCATCTACCAGTTGCAAGGAGAGGGCAAAAGTTATTTATAGTGGCAGCAGCCTGCCTGGGTGCTAGACAGACTTTCAGAATGCACCGCCATCCTACCATGCTGCCTGTGGGTTCTCAGGACGTGGTGAGCTGAAAGCAAGCATTCCTACAAACAGTGGTGGCTCAGTAAACACTGAACCAGTGCCACCCAAGGCCCTCTTGGGCTCAGCATGGTATGCTGGAGATACACTTCTCTCCCCTTCAGATCTTCTAGAATTGTGATGTGCCTTGGCATAAAATCTTCCAGCTACTAGTCAGACAATTATTTCCTCTGAGCCTATGAAAATATGTTTTCTACTAATGTGCTCTATGGGATTGCCTCTATAGGATATGAGTATGTGTATAGTTTTTGAAAAATATTGTACAAATACTGTTACAACAAAGCAATTATAATACAGACTACCCCTTTTTTTTTTTTTTTTTGACACTGGGGATCGAACTCGGGACCTTGTGCTTGTGAGGCAGGTGGTGGCACCACTGAGCTAAATCCCTAGCCCTCAGACTACCCCTTCTTGTTCAAAGCTCTTAGAGCCCCCCATCTTACTGTATCTTCTAGACCTTCACCCTCCCAGACTAAAATAGTAGATATTTATGAAGCATCTACTTCATGCCAGGCCCAGAGTAGATATTCAAGTGCTGAGATTACTCTGGGTACAGAAAGCCTCTGCCTTCCTGAAGCTTTCCTCTAGTGAAAAGACAGGCAATAAATAACATAAATATAAATAGGAGCATTCAGAGTACTGATGACAGCAAAGGTAAGAGAAAAAGGTATAATAGGAGAGTGTGTTAAAGAGACCTGACCCAGGCCACAAGCTGATCGGGAACATTTTCATGGAGGAAGCAGTGGTCAAGTGGGTACTTGGAAAATGTGCAAGAGCTGCCAGGCATAGGGGGTGGGTTGGGGGGTGTACCGAACAAAGGTGTGAGAGAAGGCTCAGGTATACAAGAGGCCCTGTCGAGGATTTAGGGCTTCAAGGACAACAGGATAGGATTGCAGCATTCTCAGCAGAAATGTGACTTAAATGCACTTTTAAAGGCTTTCTCTGTCATAAAACAGAAATGGAAGAATGTGGAGACTACTCAGAAGGCTCCTACACTTGTCTGATCAGAGAAAGTGGTAGCCAGAATTTGGAGAGCAGAGAAGAGAGGACAGATTTAAGAGATATTCAAGAGATAGAAGCAAAGAATTGGTGACATTGCACGTGGCTAGTATCTCTTAGTCATTCTTTTACTTTTTTTAAAACCTCTTGATTTTTCTCTGATTAAAGTAATTGTCACCAAAGTACAAATGGATACATAGAGCTAGAATACTCAGATTAGTTTACTGGTGTTTATGTCAGGGACCCCAAGACTTACTAGAGGGTGAGTCACAGAAGCAGAAAAACTACTCACAGTATAGTTTATTAAAGCAAAAGTCATAAAATGAAAATCAACAAAGGGAAGAGGCACGTGGTGGAAGCCGAAGAGAAACTAACATCAGCTTCCAAGTGTCCTCACCAGGTAGAGTTGCACAGATGTGCTTAACTTTGCCCACAAAACAGGGCTGGGGATTTAGCTCAGTGGTGCCGCACCTGCCTCTCAAGCACAAGGTCCTGAGTTCGATCCCTGATACCAGAAAACAAAAACAATGTTGGCAACAAGGAAATTCATCTGAACCTTGATGTGCAGAGTTTTCATTGGGCTCAGTCACTTAGAAGGACTCCCCTTGTGACTGACTACAGCCACTTTCACTCTGTCCCCCAGAGCAAAGTTGGGCATTTACCGTAAATCAGACTGTTAGCATCAGCTCTGTGATCCAGCTGGTACACAGGGCCAAAGGCCTTAGGCATACAAAACCTTCTAACTAGGTTTTGAATACTCCATAGGCTCATGGCTTATCTCTCGGGAACTGGCCATGGGTCAGTCCCAAGGAGCTAGGTCTTTCGTGGAAATGTGCAGAGCTTGAGCAGCTCTGGCCTGTGAGCTAACCCTTTCCCAACACAGTGTTGTAACCAAAGCAGGTGTTAGACTGTGAGGGAGGGCCTCATTTGAGGGAGTAGGTTTTATATCCCATGCTTTCCTCATGCATCTGCAGCTTTCGTGTTACATCAGGGAGCCCAGTACAAAAAAGGGTACTGAAGTAGATAGTGGTAAAGTGTTGTGGACCCCATGCTGCTCCAATTTTATGTAAATGATTCTGTAAATCAAAAAAGAAACAGCATGTGCATAACCCTGCACATACGGAAACCTCACCCAGCAGAGCTGGGATCATGGACTCTCGCCCCATCTCAGCCAAAACAGTATCCACTCCAGGTTATGTGATTCCATCCAAGATCTGACATAATCTTTGCTAACTCCCACAGTGGTAATTGCCTATTTATTTTAAATACCATAAGATCTTCCGTTTTACTCAGCAGTCCGGTAAGGTTGCACTATTTAGAATTTCAAGATACTTACTTTCCCAGAAAACATGGAGAATTTGAGAGGTGTTTGTTTTGAAAAACAAAACATTTGAAGTTCATTGCTGAAAGAGCATTTGCATTTTGCCTGTGCTTAAAAGAAAATTGAATGTAAGAATAAGATGCTTTGCCAAGACCTCTGTAGGTGATGTCAGAACAGACAGTGCATTACCATTTCAGATAACCAAAAAGGGATGAATCGGATGAACCAGCAGAGAACAGTGTTTAGATGAATTAAAGAGTGGTATATTTCAGATGATAAGAGAAAAAAGGTTACACACTGAGTATTGGTAATGAAATGCTCACTTGACAGAAAAATTCCTTCTAAGGTCCACAGCACCATAGTCTTGAAAGTCACTGCTTTTCAAAGGAAAGGGTATTTTTTGAAATTTTACTGTTAGAAAATGTTGTCACAAAATAGGTTAGCAGGGCTTGAAGAAATGCCCATTTGAAGAGATTTGTAATACAGCACCTCCTTCCTACATTGCAATGTACAGGTATGGAGATGTCGAGAATATTAAATCAAAAACAGGAAAACTCAGTACTTTAGATTAAAACGAAATAGGAATCTGATTTTTTAAGTTATTTTGTGTTTGTTACCTAAAATAACTTGGACAATTATGCTAAATGGTGAAAGCAAAGGACTGAATATTTATAATTTCTGCAAAATTAATTTGAGTTACCAGTCCCAGTCTCATTTCTGGAGAGTATTATTTCTCAGAAACTGAAACTGTTGTGAAATCATTGGAAAGCCTATCTTCAGGCTAGGTGCAATGCCACGTGCCTGTAACCCAGATACTCAGGAGGCTGAGGCAGGAATATCATAGTTCAAGGCTAGCATGGACAACTTAAAAATTAAATTTAAAAAAATATTAAAGGACTGGGGATGTAGCCCGGGGGTGGAGCACTTGCCTACCATGTACAAATCCCTGGCTTCTATCTCTAGTACCCTAAAAAGGGGGGATGGAGAAAGCTCAGTATCTTAGTATAATCCTAGCTAATTAGGAGTTGTGATTCCCACGTGGTAAGAAAAATACAGTAATAGTAGCTTGATTATGTAGGAGCTTGTCATGATGTAGTTTTAAGTTGCAAATCTTAGTTTTGATTACATGTCCTCTAGATCTACAAGGTATAAGATACTGCGCTACCTTGAAGATAGGAATTGTTGCCTGATCTCGTTTGTATCCAGAATACCTAGCATAGTACACAGGAGCACTCTGAATATTTTTAGATAAATGTGCAAGTGCTGGAGCATGGTGGTACATGCTCATAATCCCAGCACTGTGAGAAGCTGAGGCAGGAGGATTACAAATTTGAGCCCACCACAGGCAATTTAGCAACTTAGCAAGAACTTGTATCAAAATTTTAAAAAATAAAAAAGGACTGGGAATATAGCTCTGTGAAGGCCGTGGGCTCAATCCCCACTACAGCCAAAACTTAAAAATAAAATGTGTGAGTGAATAATGAAAGCTACTCACAAAGTAGAACCTGAGATGTTGATTTACATTGTAATCTCTGACAGAAATTTAATTTCTTGTATTGCTCTTGATTTTCCTTTAAAATTAAGGATGTTTAATGGACTCCCACTTGCAGATTCTTTAAATCAAAGTTCTGTCCTGTATGTGTTTTCATTTCCCTAATCATTCCCTACTTAGAATTAGCCTGAAAATATTTTAATGTAAATTATTTAAATTATTTTCAAATACTAATAACAGTCTAGACTTACAGGCTCAAGTAATCTTTGTGTGACTTTTTTTTTCGGGGGGGGGTACTAGGGATCGAACTCAGAACCTTGCGCTTGGGAGCCAGGCGCCGCACCACTGAGCTAAATCCCTGGCCCTGTATGACACTTTTTATATACTTCTTTCTTGTCTGAAAATATTGAGCTACAGAATTTAAAAAATGAACCACTTTTTGTACTCTGGAGGATTAGAAAGTAAAACTCAACCAAGAAATTGTTTCTGCCTCCAGTACTTGTCATTGTCTTTACATATTTGTGTGTAATGTATTTTTTATAGTCTCTTTTACCACTATAGCCATGTAAAGCATTTTAGATATCATAATTTTCAAAAGATTAAAATCTAGAATTTTGATGTTAATCCACCTAAAAAGTTGAAATGTTTTCTCTCGCAGGGAAAAGGCTAGCATGGTTGTCCCTGAAGAAAGAGAAGGCAGAGATGAAACCAACCTGGACTTAGCAAGAGGCACAGCATCGACACATGCTGCCGCTGACACCCGCAAAGCTGGTGAGTCCTGCCCTTGGCCAGAAGCCCCTGTTGCCAGTAGGAGAGGCTGGGAGGCCCCACTGTTACTCTACAGAAGGTTGGTTTTTCCCACCAAACTCTTACAAATAGAGAGGATGTCTGCTCCCAGACTCCAGCCTCAGCCCTGCCATTTAATAACCGTGCGTCATCCCTACAGTGAAGGTGCTGTGTCATCTGTAAAATGAGTGGGGTTGAGTTTTAGGCACCCCAGCCTAGAACAAGTTACGTTCCTCTGAGGGATTTAAAAGTGGTTGGTTGAGGCTCAGAATGTAGTTTTCCAAATAAACTTTGGCAAATGCTAATGAGGCCAGTTGACTCATTGAGTAGCTAAAAGAAGTTTTGTTTCCTTCTTCTACCTTCCCTCTTAGGTGTACATACGTGGGAGATAATTAGGGTACCTACATTCCCACTCTTTCTGCATTCATGTTACCTGCTTAATGTTTCTCTTGATCTCAGCTGTCTGGCCCTCTCGATGCTGTGTGGTATTCAAACTGCACCATGTCACCAAGACCTGCTCATTCCAAGTGTACCAAGACCCAGAAGTAACCATTTTCCCATTCCCCCAATTCCAGTTTTCCCATGGCAGCAGCTGGTATCAGGGAAGAAGCCTTCTCCCTGTTTTTTCCAGTGCCTAGAAGCCTCCTGCATTCCTTGGCTCATGCCCCCTTCTTTTGCCTTTAAAGCCAATAAGATAGTGACTTTCCCCTGAGGCCTACCCAGAAAACCGAGGTTAATTTCTCAACCTCAGAATACTTGACTTATTCACATACATAAAGTCCCTCTTCCCATGTCAGGTAACATTTACAGGTTACAAGAGTTGGAGCATGGGCATCTTTGGGAGCCTTAATTCTGCCTACAACTACCCTTGATATTTAAAGTGTCATCCTTCACCAGCTGCATTAGCATCACGTGACTGCCAGAAATGCAGTCTTAGACTCCTCAGACCTCAGACCCACTGATGTGTTCCTTACGCCCCAGACCTGCTAAATACAGAGCTGCTTTCTAACAAAATCCTGCATGATTCCTTTGCGTATCTGAGTATGAGAAGCTATGTTCATAGTTTTCTCCAGTTTCTTCTCTTTTCCCATCTCTGGACTCAATGAGGTGATTATAACACTCCTAAGGCAGTGTGCTGAGTGAGCGTGCCAAGCACCTGCTGTGTGTCAGTCACTGTCCTATGACTGGGCGCTACAGTGATCAGCACAGATGCAGTCAGTACAGCAGTGTAGCCACAGAGGGCAGAGCAGAGCAGAGGTTTTGTGCTTAGACATCATCACCAGCAAGGAACTGCTAACAGAGTCTAACTTTCCTCTCTAATGTTCAGTTTTAGCAGAGGTAATTTCCCTCTGCTTTCACTATAAATAATTTTTGAAAAGCTAGAAAAACATGGCATAATAATACCATGTAGTATTATGTAACCATCCATCAGAGGTTAACAGCAGAAACATGGATTTTAAACTTTGTTGTATTTTTATCTTTGAGAAGTCTTTCCCAATGACATGACTTAAAATGATACTTTTTTTTTAAATAGGTGGCCAGGAACAGAATGGAACACAGCAAAGCATAGTTGTGGACATGCGTGAATTCCGAAGTGAGCTCCCATCTCTGATCCATCGCCGGGGCATTGACATTGAACCTGTGACTTTAGAGGTTGGAGATTACATCCTGACACCAGAAATGTGCGTGGAGCGCAAGAGCATCAGTGACCTGATCGGTTCTCTGAATAATGGCCGCCTGTACAGCCAGTGCATCTCTATGTCCCGCTACTACAAGCGCCCTGTGCTCCTGATCGAGTTTGACCCCAGTAAGCCCTTCTCTCTCTCAGCCCGAGGTGCCTTATTTCAGGAGATCTCCAGCAGTGACATTAGTTCCAAACTCACCCTTCTCACGCTTCACTTCCCCAGACTTCGCCTCCTCTGGTGCCCTTCCCCTCATGCAACAGCAGAGCTATTTGAAGAACTCAAGCAAAATAAGCCACAGCCTGATGCAGCCACAGCCATGGCCATTACAGCAGATTCTGAGACCCTGCCTGAGTCAGAAAAGTATAATCCTGGTCCCCAAGACTTCTTGTTAAAAATGCCAGGGGTAAATGCCAAAAACTGTCGCTCCTTGATGAACCACGTTAAGAACATTGCAGAATTAGCAACCCTATCACAAGACAAGCTCACAGGTATTCTGGGGCATGCCGCAAATGCTAAGCAGCTTTATGACTTCATTCACACCACTTACGCAGAAGTGGTGTCTAAAGGGAAAGTGAAAAAGTGAACAGTGGTGGCCGTTTGCTCATTGGTGACTGTGCTTTTCAACTGTTCTCTGCCAGCAAGACTAAGTGATTATTAATTATTTGTTCAGTGATTCATACTTCTCCAGTGCTCTTAATGGTCGTACATCTGTCTCCAAGGTCAGTGGACCAGAAGCCGAGATTCCTCTCTGAACATTGTGTTTAGGTAACTTTTTAACTTTCGCTTGCCTGCTCTCTGCCCACCCTGCACAGTCCCTGGCAGGCTTACTGTATTCCATTTTTAAATGAGCTGCGTCAAGATCAGGGAGCGTTTCCACAAGTGTTTATTTAAGACTTTTGAAGCGAGGAGACGCAGCCACCCCTAAAACTGGCTGCCTAGGCTCACCCAAATGCATGCATACATATTACAGCTAGGCTGTCCGAAAGCATCTCCACGTCCCTTTGTTTCAAATGAAATGAGTTACTAATTCACAAAATGTGATGGTGCAGGTGAAGGAGCCCTTAGAATTCTGTTTTTGCAAATGTTGAACCTTCTGCATCTCAAGACTTCCAAGCCTAAATGGCTAGTTTCAGAGTCTCACAGAGCTCCTCTTCTCCCAGCTCTCTGTGAGCACAGGACACCATGCCACATCCTCTGGCATCATCCTCTGGGCCTCCGGGGCCTCACGTCCCTGTGCAGAACACCTCTGCCTTCCCTTTGTGAGGACTCAGACACAAGCAAGCAAGCAAGCAACCCACTGGGCTCTCAAGATTTCCTTGTCTTCCCTTTGTATTGGGATAGAAGGGTTGCAGATAAATGGAAGATCAGTGTACAAAATATATAAAAATTCAAAAGAAATATATACATATATTTAAGAACCCCTAAAGAAACTAATCTCATTCTAAATCTCCTGATTGATTTAAGTTGGCTTTTTACTGAAGTGTACATACAGAAAATTCATAGCATCTTTGTGCCATTTTTAACTTTGATATTTAAACATTATTAACTTAGCTGTTACATATTGAGTAATAAGCAGTAAATTTTATGCCTCAGATTTTGATGTAGACATGAATTCTGCTAGCTGTGACACATAGTTCAGCATTTCATCAGTGTCAGCTATTTTTTGGTTTGTCACACTACTGAGACAGTGGACCTTGTAATAAAACATTGTCTTCAACTTTAACAAAAGCACTGTAACTGGACCTCTCATATTGGCATCTTGATTTATTGCTACTTAACAGTACAGTTGTCTGTCAGTATCCATGGTACCCTCCCATGGAACCAAAATGCGCAGATGCTTAAATCCCTTATGTAAAATGTCATAGTGTTTGCATATAACCTACGCATATCCTCCTGTATACTTCAAACCATCTCTAGATGACTAATAATATCTAGTACAATGTAAATTCTATGTAAGTAGTTGTTACACTGTGTTTAAGGGATAATGACAAGAAAGAGTTTGTACATGTTTTGTACAGGTACAAGTATTTCCCCAAATGTTTTCAGTCCTTGATTGGTAGTAAACCCATGGATCCAGAGCCATTGGATAGGGAAAGCCAACTATGGTAAGAGTATTATCTGTGGATATATGGATTTTGAACTCTAGTGCTGGGGATGGAGCTAAGTATAAACTACTTGCCTAGTGTGCACAAGGCCCTGGGCTCAGTCCCTAGCACTGCAAAACAAAACCTGAAGTGTTTTAAACTGTATACAAGGTACTACAAGAATGAATTGAGGGGTGTCGAGAACCAGATTTGTTATAGAACCTGGTAGCAGTGGCAAACCATTTGGCAAACCTATGGCATTCATGCCACAGCGGGCTATTTGTATCATTGAAAGCTCTAAAACATTCACTATCATTGCTGTAAGATGTTGTGGAGAATAAGGACGATGACAAAGAAAAATTAGTTTAAGGTCAAACAAAGATGGGGCTACTGATTTTGTCCCAGAGGTAAAAAATATACCCTGTGGAATAGAAAACAAAACTTTTGAATGATTACAGTATGAATTTTAGCACTCACTTTTATATTTATTTTATTGAGTTCAATCATAGTTCAAAGGCCATTAAAATAGACATACCACTTCAAAGGGTAATGATTTCTACGTTCTTTCACCCTAGCCAAGCATTTCTGCTTATGGTATGTAATTTCTTTTTTTTCCTTCTTGTATACTTCCACTTCACCTTCTATTGCTGTTTTATTACATAAAACAAATGTTATCAGCATATTCTGCAATGGGAGTTGCATTCCTAGTTAAGTTTTCAAAACTAAGCTCTTCTCAAAGCTAGCATTTTAAACAGCCCTTGTTATCTAGTAAAACATAGATAACACTTCTAAATGTATTTATTCCTAATGTCCCCAAGTTCTCCAAATCTGCCATTTGCTGTTGTGCCTGCTGGACATGAAGACAGGTGCACTATCTTACATGTATTTGAATTACGGTCAATAATTTCAAATGAACTCTAAATGGTCATTATGGGTGAAGGACTCACTGCCACTTCTTTTTCCAACTAAATAAGCGTATTTTAATGTATTTCCAGTTGTGGAGCACTTTCCCTACATCCATAACTATTTAGTTTACCCAAAATTTTTAATGAATTTTTACAGTCTAAGATTGTTTGGTAGAGGAACTAGAGATGCATACGTTGCAAAACTATGGCTTTATTATCTAACATTTTGCTAACTTTGCTTTTGTTTCCAAAATTGTAAATATTCAGTTACTTATGAACTTGTGTGTAGCTTTTTAAAAACTTTTTTTAAATGCTAGATCAATACTCTATTTTAGTTTTGGGTTTTGTTTTGTTTTGTTTCTCATTTTGGTTTGGTTTTTGTGTACTGAGGATTAAACCCAAGGCCTCCACACTGACTACATCCTCACCCTTTTTATATTTTATTTCGAGACGAGGTCTCGATAGTCAGCAAGTTGCCCAGGCTGGGCTCCTGCCTCAGCCTCCTCAAGTGCTGGGATTATAGGCATGTGCTGCAACACCTGGCCTATTTTACAAGTTTTTTATATAAAAATGTGAACATCTGAAGTATTGTGAGAAATCATTTTGTTTAAATCGTGGTGTCTCTCTTAATCTTCACAACTATACAAAAGTATTTATAGTGGCCATAGGTATTGTCCTTTAGGCACTGCTGACTGGTTCTTTAAGTCTGATGTTTAATAGACTATATGTCTACTGTCGTTTGAGTGCTTTCAGGATGCAGTTTCCCAGCTCATGAGGAACTGAAAATAATTGTCTCATTCATCAGCCCATTAGGACAGGAAGGATAAAGTCCAGATTTGGTCATATTGTGATAACATTATAGAACTAATGTCCTGATAAATGATGCGGGAAAACCTTCCATAAAGCAAATCTGAAGAAGTAGGGGGGAGGTACACAGGAACTATTGGCCTTTGCTTTTGTTTTTCAAGCATAATTTGATTTTTCCTTTGTCTCAGAGAACTTCTTTAGGGAAATTCTTTATCATTAGTTTCCATCTAGATATGTCCCCTACAAAACCAACTCTTCAGGAAAATTCTTCCTCGGGTTTGAGTAGATTAAAATGTAATCAGGCTTTGACATGAATTGTTATTCTTCTTTATTGTTTGGCTTTCTGTTTTGGTTTGTAACTATTTCCTGCCCTATTCTGAATTTCAGCACTTACCATATTTACCAACAGATTTTTGGTGGCCTATACCATTATGCTGTTGTTTTGTTGTTGTTTTTTTAATTTATGGATGTGTAAGCCACAATTTACTTGAGAGGGAGATAAAACAAATATATCTATCTGTAACAAGTGTGTGTGAATTTAATAAAATGTATATTCAGTATTTTTCTCTCCATCTTAAGGACAAAATAAACTATAACACTGTAGTGGAAGAGTATATATTATCAGCAATGTATTGGTAAATATTTAAAATTCAGAGAATATTTAATTTTTTTCTTTTTCATTGTGCAGAATAAATGATTAAGGCTGAGATGCCCCTTGAATCTCTGCGTCTGTGTTTCACTTACAGCAGTGGTAACCCACGTTGTAAGGCATCAGCATGTTTTTCTTTTGTTTGTTTTCCCTTCCTGCTTTTAATTCTGAAGCATATCTCCTTAAGAGAAAAGAAACCTGTTCTTTGGGAAATATTCATTTATTGGTATGTAATAAGTATGTGGCAAGCTCAAAGCCTGGGCTATCTTAACAAAAGTTCATTTTCTGCCACCCCTGCCACATACATTTTTGTTTCATTAACATCACAGTTGGAAGAAGTGAATCGTCCTTTAGACACCTCTGACACTGTCATTTCTTAAGTTTAATTACTAGTTTATGAATTGGCTCCTTTCAATGATTTAATGATTGTAGCTTCTGCTTTAAAGTGAGATCCATATCCCCTTTTAATAACATGTAAGACAGGTTATTTCTCAAAATGTTCTAATCTGTAAATAAAGACCAGCAGGCTAATGAACCTTTTCCTAGTAGTGGTAATGTGACTCACATTTATCGAGCATTTGTGCATTATTTCACGTAATCTTCATAACAAAGCCATGAAAGCATTATTATTTAATCCTCTGCTACAGTGATGAAGCAGAGAGATTACATAATTTGCACAAGGTCTCCCCATAGTAAATGGAGAAACTATGCGTTGAAACCCAAGTGGATGCAGAGCCCCTAGGAAAAGGTCGGGGAGGGGACAGGTTGTGGGAAACTGAACTGTGTCCACTTTCATATACGTACAAATACAAGAAAAACCAAATTGGTCTGTCTTTGGATCTGTCTTAAATAGCAGTGTCCAGAGCAAGTATGCAAAACTTGAAAGTGCGTAAAACAATACCTTAGATGTTGTTGCAAAGTAGTCTGCATGTACCTTTTGCTGGCTGATGAGGAAGGGTGCTTTTCACCAGCATGAGAATAGAGGTCAACTGGTAGAAAAGTATGACAATACAAAGGACTCTTGTCCAATAGCATTGTAAAGGGTATTGCCGGGTACACCCTTTTACCATCTGGCATTTGTTGGCAAATTTATTTCACCATTCATTTGGCCGATCAACTATTAATCTCTAGATCTTTGGTTTTTGTCTCAACCACTCTAAACATCTTCTGGATTTCCCCATTAATTCAGTTAAATAAAATCTTTGTCTGCTTTTTCAAAATTGCCAACGTGAACTCCCATAGTGCCTATATAATGGTAAAACCCGTTTCCTACCTTATAAATCCTGAAGTTAAACCCTGTAAAGTAGAAAAGAAACGTATATGATATATATATATATATATATATATATATATGTTTTGTGCATACATCTTAATTTTAACAACTATAGACAACTACCATACTGCTCAGTGGACTCCTGTTTCTCATTTTGTTTACCAAAGTTCAATGTTTGATCTGAGTTCCTTTTCCGCATAGCCATTGACTGTCAATGTTAAAGAGACTGATTCACGATTGAGAAAGAAGAACTTTAGATATTCCCAGGGACCAAGATATCTACATGAGAAGAACACGACTCTCAGGGAGCTGGAAGGTAAACAAAATCCACTTGTGATTTCAAAGGGGTTTCCTGGGATTCATGAAAATAGTAAATGGGCGGCACTGCATGTTTGGAACCCTTCCTTATAATTTTGAGATCCAGGATTTGGTGTCAGAATGCCTTTCACTGAGAAAGTGATCTGCCTCCCTGTCCAGCTTTATTCTGGGAAGGCGACACCCAGCAGAGGCTGAGGAGAGAAGATGGTTTAGTGGAGTCAGGGAAGCGTCCCTGGGCAGGTCTGTTTTCAGGGTTGGGCATGTATTGCATAAGGTGCAGAGCTCTGGTTGGATTTGGTGCTGTAACAGTGCATGCCATGAGGTACACTCAGTCCTGCACGAAGGGAAGTTAAAGGCAGAGAATCACAAAAAGGCCGCAGGAGATGTGTAACTGCTTGGAGTTCAGAGGAAGAGGTCGCATCCATGTAGGGATTAGGAGCGGCCTTGGAGCAGAGGAAGAATTCAGAATGAGTTGCAAAGGACAGTGAGGACTTCAGCAGATAGAGGCAGGTGGTGCAGTCACCACCATGAGGTTGGTGACGAAACAGTTGGAAATAGAATGATTTAGTTTAAAGAGTCACGAATAGTGAAAGGGAAGCAACACGCTGCAGCCACGTTGTTGGAGGCACTCAAGGGCTAGAATGAGGGTCCTGTGTGTGAACCCAGAGCCTTCACACTGAGCTACATCCCCAAGCCTTTTTATTTTTTTTATCCTGAGACAGGGTCTAACTAAGTCACTCAATTGCCCGGGCTGGGCTCTTAACTCGTGATCCTCCTGCCTCAGCCTCCCAGAGTGCTAGGACTACAGGTATGCACCACCACGCCAAACTGAGGGGCTTGTTCTTATTTCCATAGAAAAGTGAGAGGAAACGATGTGACCAAGAAGTCCGAATTTGAAACAGAAAGGAACTATTATTAATTGAGCACATACAGTGTGCCAGACAGGTACTGATATTTGTTATCTTCACAGACAGAAGACTAAAAGACTCCAGGAGATTAAGAAATGTAAACCACAATAGAAGTAAATGCAGATTCACACCGCAAAGCTCCTCTTCTACCCACCATTCCTTGCTGACAGAAAGGAAGGATTGGCAGGAACACCCACTTCTGATGCCACTGTAATGATATAAGCAATTTATAATGGGGGACAGAAGTAGGAAGATGGCTTTGGAAATGGAAAGGGTATAAATTAGAGCAGCAGCCAAAAAAGGCAATCTGGAAAAGAAAATAGATGCCAAAGGAGAGGATCAGTAATGCCCCCACGAAAAAGTTTAGAAAAGGCCCTGTTTTTTGTTTTGTTTTGGCAGCATTGGGGGTAGAAAAAGGAAAAGCACAGTTTGATCAAGTTGATTGTGAGACAGCTAAGGATCAGGGTGATACAGGAAATGATATAGGACCTCTAAATATGATAATAAGGGAAATACAATTTTTAATCTGCTAGATGTCTGATCCGCCAAGTTCGTGTTCTCCAAAATCAAAGAATGATTTTTTAAGGAACCACAGAGGTTAAGAGTAGAAATTATTTATTGAGGAGAAAGATACTACTCTTGAGAGGCAGGAGGGGACCCAAAAGTGGGTTGCCATGAACCTCACTTCTCAGGGGAAGTTTTATAGAGCACAACACGTGGATACAATGTGGGTTACAGCTATGATCCACCAATAAGATTATAAGTATAGTCGTTTAGGTAACATTGATCCAGTGGGGAAGCAAGTCAGGTAGCAGGTGTACGTGGAAGGAACAAAACTTTTCAGGAAGGGATGAGTCTGAGGGTCTTGGTCACCCACCGAGGTGACTGATGTCTGACTTCATTAGACCAGGTGTTACCATTTATCTCAGGCCTGGACATTTCCTCTTTATCTTGAGGCCTGGCCTCTTACGGATGCACCTCTGGTCACAGTTGTAATGTGTTTTTACCTTTGTCCTGACTCTCAAGGACTCTCAGCCTAGCTCAGTTGTCTGTAATAAGGAGACAGTCACAACTGAAGATGTAGCAGACATCTGCACTGAAATGAGAGTTGAAGGCCTCAATAAATGATTACGGTTTTTAAAAAATGAAAAGATCCACAGACAGAACTTCAGAAAATGCCCACCTTTAGGTGGGAAGGTAGAAGAAACAGAATAGGAGGAAGAAGAGAAGGACTGAATCACACAGCAACCAGAATAAAAGGCAGGAGGGACTTCCAAGGGGGAGAGCTAACATGAGGTGTCCAGTAATCCAAGCACAGTGGCTTAGGGTGCACCATGAAGACAGCGTGGCCACCCTGGGTGGTAGGGCTGGGAGCCCCAGAGGGTGACAAGTCGGGGTGGGGGAGGAGAAAAAGGAGCAGGTCAAAGGTGTCTTTGCTTGTCGGTGATCCAGAGAAAAGAGCAGAGAGCAGACTGGGAAAAGAACGATTCCTGAGGGAGAAGAAATAATTAATGAGGCCAAATCTGGGTGCTGGAGATCTGGAGGTGGAGGTAAAAATAAAAGTGTTTTTCGCTTTTCTTCTTCTCACACCTACAGAAAACCTGTTTCCATATTGATCTGCCTCTTCTTAAAGACCAGCATTTAGGTTACCATGTGCACCCCTACTTGGAAGGGAACTGGCAAGCCACAGTAAATAACAAGGAGCCCTTTTCTGCAGCCTTCTGTTTTAACAATGCCCTGGTGCTTTTGGCAGGGAGGTCTGTGTGTGTTTAAGCTGGCTAGGGAAAGACCTAGTGCCCTCTGTTTGCAACCTAGCTTCATAATTTTATTATAATTTAAAGCATCCCATTCAGTGGTTTATGAAATCAAAATATGTGCTTGCTCATGTCACCTGGAAACTGAAAGTTGACGTTCAGGAACTCTCACTAGCCAATCCAAAGACTTCCAAAGAATTTTTATTTTGGTCGTACTGTAACTGGGGAGGCAAAGTTGCTATGGTGATTTGTTCTCAAAGCAGAGCACTTTGCCTCAGTGGATTGAAACAGATAAATCTGCTTTATGTTGATCGTGACATTCGTTCTAGTTAAAACATCCCCATGCTCTCATCAGGACTTGTGTATAGGAATTTTAAATCAGGGCCAAGAAGTCATTGGCTAAAAGAATTGCAACTTGGGCTTTTTAAACCTGGGCCTTCACAATTCACACAACTGAAAGCTGTTGGCTCGCAGCCCAGAGCTCTACCATGGGGGTGGCTTGCAGCTGGGGGAAGGTTCATCCCTAAGCAATTATGTGGTTAATTGGCTCCAGTGTGGGCATAGGCTAAAAGTTGTGACTCACCCCACACTGTCACTAATAGATTGGGTGGGGGTGGGGCGGACCGGATGCAAGGACGCACTGAGAAGTCAGCAGCTGCTTCCCATTCCTCTTCCAAATCTGTAACTCACCAAGATCTCCCCTTAAGGTGGGAAAGGCAGAACCTCAACTCCAAGAGAGGCACTCCTGATCACACCAGTAGAGGTCCCCATTGAGTCATGAGTCTTAAACTAGCCACGCTGGAGCTGCTGGATGCTTT